AACAAGTCCACTGAACGCATATGCATAGCTTCAAAACCTTGTCAGACACTGACGGCCTAATAAATGGAAGCAGAACATTGTCGGAGATGGTGCCAGGAGATGGGCCCCATGGGTTTGGTGGTACTGGAAAAGTGACTGAGGAGGAGCTGATTTCTCAGAGTGAGAGTGGGTCGACCATGATGACGTGAGTCAGGTAAAGCCTGTGGGAGTGGAGCCTTCGAGATCTTCATTTTCAGATGGGGCAAAACTCAAGGGAAGAAGAAACAAGTGCAAAAATCTACTAATAACAGGAACTTGGAATTATGAAATATGAATCTAGAAAAATTGGAAGTCATCAAAAATGAAACAGAACACATAAAGCATTAGTAAACTGAAATGGACTAGTAGTGGTCATTTTGAATCAGGAAATCCTATGGTTTCCTATGTCAGGACTGACACAATCCAAAGGAATAATGTTCATTCAGGAGACCGAGGCCAGCTGGAATCTGGGGTCCATCGCTTCGTGATTTTCTGCCGATTCTGGGCAAAGATGGCAACCAATGATGCTGTTCTTCAGAGACTGGAACAGAAGGGGGCAGATCAAATTATTGACTATCTTAAGTAGCAAGTTGCTCTTCTTAAGGAGAAAGCAATTTTGCAGAGAACTCTGAGAGAGACGAAACTTCAAGTTGAACATGCAAAATTGAAGGAAGAAATTGAAGAACTGAAACAAGAGTTAATCCAGGCTGAAATTCTAAATGGAGTAAGACAAGTTCCATTTCCATCTGGTACTCAACTACAAGCTAATGCTACACTTTCTACAAAAGTGATGCAGTCTACCCCGACAACAACCATACCTCCTGGTGCCAAAGAACAGATAAACAGAGGAGGAGAAGAAAAGACAGTGAAAGAAAAAATGGAGAAGAAAGAGAAAAAACAGCAGCAGTCAGGAACAGGAAGTGCTGATTCAAAGCCAATTGATGTTTCCCAACTGGATCTTCGGATTGGTTGTATCACCACTGACAAAAAACATCCAGATGCAGATTCTTTGTATGTAGAAGAAGTAGAAGTTGGAGAATCAGTACCAAGAACAGTTGTCAGTGGCCTAGTGAATCAAGTGCCTCTTGAACAGATATACCTTTTTTAAAAAAATACTTATTAGGCTCTTACATCTCTTATCACAATCCATACATTCCCCCCACAAATACCATTTTTCAATATCACAGAAGGCAATAAGAAACATGGACTACTGCAGATGGAAACAGAGACAGCAAACTGACTACATCTGTGCAAAGAGACAATGGAGAAGCTTATCAGCAGTAGCTAAAACCAGGCCAAGGGCTGACTGTGGAACAAACTATCAATGGCAAAGAAAATTAAAGTAAATCTACCAGAGCCAAAACACAACCTTAATCTATCCCACCTGAATTTTGAGAACATCTCAAGCACAGATTTGATGGATTGAGCACTAATGGCAGAAGACCTGATGATAGGCAATTAAACAAGCCATCTAGAGGAGGACATCAATGAGATGTCTGGTAGGAGGACAGGACCATCACTCATGAAGAAAGCACATGGTTACTTGAAGGGCAGGAGAGAAATAAAAGCTCAAAATGGATGTCAGAAAACTCTAAAACTTGATCTTCATTGTAGAGTAGCAAAAGCAAATGGAAGAAATGATGCACAGAAAATGTCAAAGGGCAACTGGAAAAGACAGAGTAAAATAGCATAAAGAAGTGTGCAAAGAGAGTTAGAAAACCCAAAGAGAAGAACATGTTCAGCATCTCTTAAGCTGAAGGAACTCAAGAAAAATTCAAGCCTTGATTCTTTTTTTTTTTTTTAAGTCATGATTCTATGGGCAAAATATTGAAAGATGCAGGAAACATCAAAAGAAGATGGACTAGTGGGTGAAGGGAGATGTCGGACAGTGTAAGATATGACAAAATAATAATAATTTATAAATTATCGATGGTTCATGAGGAAGGGGGGAGTGGAGAGGGAGGGGGAAAAATGAGGAGCTGATATCAAGGGCTCAAGTAGAAAGTAAATGTTGAGAATGATGATGGCAACAAATGTACAAATGTGCTTGACACAATGGATGGATGGATGGATTGTGATAAGAATTGTACAAGTCCCTAATAAAATTATTTTTTTTGAATCACTAAAAAGGATGGACTATATATACATTTAAAAAAGAGAAGATGATGAAAAGAATACATAGTCATTGTGCCAAAAAGAACTAGTTGGCATTCAGCCATTTCAGGAGGTGGCATATGAGCAAGAACCAATGGTGCTGAAGGAAGAAATTCAAGCTGCACTAAAAGCATTAGCCCAAAACAAGGCTCCAGGAGTTGATAGAAGACCAACTGAAATATTTCAACAAGCTCACGAAACACTAGCAGCACTTCCTTATCTATGCCAGGAAAAACTGGACGAAAGCTACTTGGCCAACTGAATAAAAGAGATCCCTATTTGTCCCCATTCCAAAGAAAGGTGACCCAACAGAATGCTCAGATTATAGAACAGTATCACTGATATCACATGCAACTTAAAGTTTGCTGAAGGTCATCCAACATTGGTTGCAGCACTACATCGACCAGGAACTGCCAGAGATTTAGGGCGGATTCAGAAAGGGTGGTGGAAAAAGGGTCAGATGGATCTTGGTTGAAAGCCGAGAATATCAGAAATATATGTGTTTCATTGACTATGCGAATGCATTGGACTGTGTGGTTTATAGCAAGTTAGAGACAGCCTTAAGGATGGGAACTCCAGAACACTTCATTGTGCTTATGTGGAACCCGTACATGGATCAAGAGGCGGTTGTGAACAGAACAAGGGAATACTGTGTGGTTTACATCAGGAAAGGTGTGCGGCAGGGTTGTATCCTCTCACCATACTTACTCAGTCTATATGCTGAGCAAATAATTAGAGAAGCTGGATGATATGAAGAAGAATGCACTATCAGGATTGGAAGAAAGTTTATTAACAACCTGCAATATGCAGATGATCCAACTTTGTTTGCTAAAAGTAAGAAGGACTTAAAGCACTTGCTGATGAAGATCAACAATTGCAGCCTGCAGTATGGATTACAGCTCAATGTAAAAAAGGCCCAAATACTCACAAATAGATCAATATGTAACATCATGATAAATGGAAAAAAAGATAGAAGTTGTCAAGGATTTTGTATTGCTTGGAACTACAATCAGAGCTCATGGAACCAGCAGACAAGAGATCAAGACTCACTGCATTGGTTAAAACTGTTGCACAAGACCTCCTTTCCAGTTTCCTCCATGTTATGAGGTGTTTCAGCTTTTTTGACTAGTTTTGCACTCCCAGCACTTTGAAAACTAGCCATCTGTGCTGGGTGCACACACTCCACTACCCACCCACTTCCATTCTGCTCCTAGTTGCCTCTCCAAATGCTACCCCTGCGAGGCTCTTTCCTCCATGAAATACAATCTGACTTTCGTCTACATTCACACAAGTTACTTCTTTAAATAAAATCTGACTGCAACTATGTGCAGAGTATTGAGCAGGTGGTGAGAAAATAACCCCCAAAAGAGTAACTCTGTTCATCAGAGGTAAAACTGTCACATGACTTCAGAGAAAGAACTATCACTCCCTGAACTGAAGGAACCATAGTAGCACATAAACTGAGCCTGGGGGGTGGGGGTGGGATAAACAAGAGATGAAGTCAAGGAGTCCAGGAAGGGAAAGAATGTTTGGGAACTGATTGTGGTAGCAATTGTACAATATTGCTTGATGTGACTGAACGATGAGATGATGTATTATTAACTCCCAATTTAAAATAAATAAAAATAAACTATAAACCGAGCCTCAAAGGCTAAGTAGTAAAGAATTAGAAAAATATGAAAGGGTTGCTTTTAAGCAAAGGAAAATATTTCAAAACAAGGTGTCTTTTACCCAGTGCCGCTATGACAAAAACACAAGTGGATGGCTTTTAACAAGTTTATTTTCTCACAGCTGTCGTTAGGCGACCGAGTCAGTTCTGACTCATCGTGACCATTCTAATGCCCAAGAGAACGAAACACTGCTAGGGCCTATGCCAGCCTCACAACTGTGGCTTGAGCCCATTGCTGCGTCGTCTTGTCAAGGGTCTGCCTCTTTCCCGCTGCCCCTCCACTTTCCCAAACATGGCACCCTTCCTCCAAGGACCGGTCTCTCCTGACATGTCCACGGTATGTGAGACCAAGTCGTGCCATTCTCTCTTCTAAAGAACATTCTGGCTGTACTTTTCCAAGACAGGGTTTATTCTTTTGGAAGTCCATGGTTTCGGAGGTTAGAAGTGTGGGAGCGTCACAGTGGAGGAAGCTGCAAGTCTGAAGTCAGGGTGATGAAGGCTCCACAGGAACTTCCTCCATCAGTTCTGGAAAAAGTCCTGATCTCTTTTTTGAGCTTCTGCTACGGGGTGATCTTCGTGTAGCCTGGCAGCTCTTTTTCTATGTGCTTTCTTGTTTAATCTCTTTTATCTCGAGAGATTGACTCAAACTACACCCCACACTACTCCCTTATTAACATAGTCCGGACAGCCCCATCTCACGTTGGGACGTTGAATAAGGAGGACTGGAGAAAAATTGAGGATTCAAACTATGGTATTGGTGAAAACCAACAAAGTACCAAACAAGCAAATAGATCAGTCTTGGAAGAACAGTCAGAATGCTCCTTAGAGGCAAGGATGGTGAGACTTCCTCTCACACTTCAGACATGTTACAGGAAGGAGATGGGCTCATACCGTGGCTGTGTTCATTAGTTGTTTCCATGTAGACTGTTCCATTTAGACAGCAAGCATTCTACTCCTGGGGATATTCTGAAACTCCTTTGGGTACCATCATGCAGGATCAAGGTACAATATACTGACCGATACACATGAACAATTAACTGAGTACATAACACAAACGGAATAAATGAAAGGTTTTATAGATGAAAAGGCTAAATGTATGGCTCCTGCCACTGTCAGGCTCCTTTCACACACTATAACCCCAAACACGAGGCACACGCTGGACTGGGCAGTCATGCTTTATTGAGATACTCAACTTTATTGAGATTTGAATGAAAATGCGTTGCCATCAAGACCACAGCCAGCAGGGGGAGCAACCTCCCACACATTTTCTGGGTGGAATTTGTTTTCGCAGTGGCTAAAGAAAGGGTGATGGGTAGAAGTGGAAGAACAACGGAGGGGCGGTCTGTTTCAAGAATCCCGAAGGGCTTCAACTTCGACTAGCTGAAGGCGAGTGTATGTTTTACAGCTGTTGGTCAGCCAGTTCCAGCCAACCCAATCCAGGAATAAATTAAAAATAGTGTTGCCGCCTCAGCAGATGGCAACAGGAGGGGGCTTTTGTGAGACCAGACCTAGTCTGCACTAGCTGCCACCATCACTGGGCAGAGGCCAGAAATTTCTGAACAGCTGTCTCATTCTGCTCAGTGGGAGGCCCAGGCTTCATCCCAAGAGCAGTCCAGCAAGCAGGCAGGGCCTCATTTACGCTTCTTCTCCTGTGTGCTGGTGAACCAAGAGTCTAGGAGCTTCTTGCTATAGTACAGTTGCCAGGCATGCACTTGGACTGCCAGCACCAGCACCAGGTACATGACAGAGACAGCAGAAAAACCGAAGAGGAAGCGGTAGGCCTTGCCATGGCGGAAGAGCTGCTGGGCAGCAGGGAACATCTCCATGCTTCCATAGATGAGGGGGGCGATGGAAAAGAGCCCCATGCTGATCATGGAGAGCACCAGGTAGCTGATGTTGTTGCGTGGGAAGGAGAGAAGTCCCAAAAGAGCAGGTACGATGCTCAGCAAATACGGGTACTCCCATTGATAGGGCATGGCCACCTGGTCGTGCGGCAAGAGCCTGAGGTGCCCCACACTCATCTTGGCAACCAGCAGCAGCCATATGACCAGATGCACGTAGATCAGCTTCTTGATTTCATACTTCAGGGTCACACTGTGGGGCAGAGCAGAGGGAGAAGCACCTTTCATTCAAAAATCTCTGACCACTCACAGAATACCAGATGGTTACACTGGACCCTGGAGGCATGAAACATGAATAAGAGTCCTTGCCTGGACTGGCAAGGCACAAGGGGAACAGAGAAGTAAAATTAAAACAGCAAGTAGAGAAGTGCTAGTAAAGTTCCCAGGCATATGGAATCAGAGGGAGTGAGCAGTTGTGCCTAGGCTGGGATGTCAGTGAGGAATAGGGAAGGAGGCTGGTATCTGGGCTATGCTCTAAGGGATGGCATGGAGATGGGCATGACATGCAGAGGTAGTAGTATTAGGACAAAGAAAGCCCAAGCATTTGTGTTCTAGAAAAGCAAGTGGCTGGGTGTGGCAGGCACGCAGGGTATGGAGGGAGGCATCAAAGCACGGAGTTGCAATGACTGTGAAGGAGCACATTCAAAGGCAGAGGAAATAACACGCATAGCTCTGTTGAGAAAGATGATTTCGGGAAGGGAAACCATCCAGGGTGCCCACACTCTCCAGCTAGAATACATTGTTTTTCCTTTATTCCTTTCTTTTTAAAAATCATTTTATTGGGGGCTCATACAACTCTTATCACAATCCATACATCCATCCATTGTGTCAAGCACATTTGTACATTTGTTGTCATCATCCTTCTCAAAACGTTATTCCTTTCATACGTTTAATTCTGTTAGGTCCCAAATATATCCTCTTCACAGCCCAAGAGCAGTGTTCAGGCTCTGGGCAGGTATAAAAACACTTGCTTGGGTTGTGAATAGAGGGTAGGAGCCTGAGATTGAGAATGAAATGGTCCAAGGGGCAACAGTAATATATCACTGATCAAGGATTCCCGAGGGTGGGAGTGTGGGGGAGGGAGAGAAAAAATGAGGAGCTGATACCAAGGGCTCAAGTATAAAGAAAATGTTTTGGTGGCAACATATGTACAAGTATGCTTAAAACAATTGAATGATGGATTGTTAGACGATTTATAAGAGCCCCCCCCTAAAATTATTAATATAAAAAAATTCTGGAAAGAAGGATGTGAAGATAATTCTGGCAGAGTTCAATGGGCTCGTAGGAGGAATTCTTTAAATATTCAAAGCAGAAAAGGAAAAATATATACATATATTTAATATCAAACTCTAGATTTCAAGCTCTGTAAAAGCAAGTACCAGCTCTTGGGGGTGATATTTTCTGGCTGTTTTTTCAAATAAAGTTTTTATTGAAGGTATATACACAGTGTTTTCGGCTAAGTTCAATCGACATCGGTCAAACAGATACGTGAATGAAAAAGCAGTTCTAACGGGAAAGCGTTTATGAGACTCATCTTCGGGGGTGGGAGTGGGGGGGAGGGGAAGGCTGGCCCTTTTCAGAAGGGAGAAGAAAAAGCCCGAATCTAACAGCAGCTGCAGGAGGCCGACCCGAGAACGTGCTTGGCCTTGTGCTGCGTCTTTCCCGCGAACCGCCAGCTCGCCGACTTTCCGCCTTTCGCAGGTGAACGATCGGAAACCGGGTGCCTAAGGTCACACCGGGCCACCAGACCTTGGTGCCTCGGGACCCCCGCCGCGCGAGGCTAGCAGAGGGGGAGCAGGGGTGGGGCGGGGGGCATCCTGGGCTTGGGGACAGAGCCGGGGTGGTCACAGGAGGGCGCTGGGCAGGCGCGCAGTTGTCTGGGGAGTCAGACCCCCGAGGCCGGGGCGGGCCGGGCTCGCTTCCAGGCCGTCGGCTCCGGCCGAGGAGAGGCCCTCCGCGCCGCTCGCCTCACTTCATACCTCATCTGGTAGTGCATGGCGACGCGCTCCCGGTGCTGAAAGTCACTGCCGTCGGTGCCGGCGGCTCGCGGGCCTGCCCGAGACGCCATGGTACCCGCCCAGGACCCCGGAGTCCCTCACGCCAATGCGCTGCGGCGAGCACAGCGCCGAGCCACCTGCAAGCCTCAATTCTAGTCACCTCAGCACCCTGGTCGCAACGTCGGAACAGACTCTGGGAGGACTTCCGGCCTCTCTAGCTGGGGAGGAGCGACTCGGTGGTCGCTCGCCGCACGCACGCGCCCTGGCTCCCTGTCGGCCCCGCCCCGCCCTCCACCACGCCTCCAGTGGACGGGGAAGGAACTGCCTCTGCCACGCTGCTGCCTGGCCTCTTGGGCTCTCTGCTTCCAGGCCTCTGGAGCGCTTTCTCTTTCTTAAACCTTAATAGGAATTTTAGAAATTCCCGCCACGCAGGTGGGGAAACCGAATGCTTGGAAGAGTCCTGGGATTTTGCCACTAGCCCATATCCTCGCCTTCTCACAATATCGCCCACAGATTGACTACTCGACCAATAAATAATGTGACAGACACCTTGTGCCTCCTGATACTCTGAGTGAGAACACAGTATCGCTTCTGTAATATGTCTGCCCCAAAGTACAAAACTTGAATCTAATGGTGGAGAAATTATCAGATCGGAGCCAAACCGGTGGTGGGGGAGTTGGATCTGAGTCACGGTGACCCCATGTGTGTCAGAGGAGAACTGCGCTCTGTAGGGTTTCAGGTTGGTTTTTAGTTTTTGTTTTCTTTCTTTGGGGATGGGTGTCAGTTGCCAGGCAGCAATCTTCCAAGGTCCAGCTAGAAGATGGACTTGAACCTCCCACCTTGAACCTATTTGCACCTCCCAAGGTTTTTCTACTTCTGTAAAGAGTTACCTCTCAGAAACCCACAGGGGCAGTTCTACCTTGTCCTGGAAGCTCTCTAAGAGCTGGCATCGACCCAACCCGATAGCAGTGAGTTTGGTTTTTATTGGAAGGGGTCCTGAAGAAATAGTAGGCAAATATAAATGAAAGAACGTTCTACAAGACAGCCAGATTGTACTTCTCAAAAGCATTAAGAACATTATACCTGGGGACCCAATGCCCATCTGTAGACAACTGGACATACCTTGCAGAGGGGTAGTGGGGAGGAGATGAGTCACTTAGGTTCAGTATAGCAATAATGAAACCCACAACCTTCCTCTAGTTCTTAAACGCTTCCTCCCCCCCAACTACCATGACCCCAATTCTACCTTGCAGACCTGGTTAGACCAGAGGATGCACAGTGGTACAGATGGGAACTGGAAACGCGGGGAATCTAGGGCAGATGAACCCCTCAGGACCAGAGGTGACAGTGGCGATACCGGGAGGGAAGGGGGGTAGAAAGGGGAATCGATCACAAGGATCTACATATAACCTCCTCTCTGGGGGATGGGCAACAGATGGGTCGGTGAAGGGAGATGCCGGGCAGTGTAAGATAAGATATAATAATAATTTGTAAATTATTAAGGGTTCATGAGGGAGGGGAGAGTGGGGAGGGAGGAAGAGTGGGGGAAAGGAAAATGAGCTAATTCCAGGAACCCAAGAGGAAAGCGAATGTTGAGAATGATGAGGGCAACAAATGTATAAGTGTGCTTTACACAATTGATGTATGTATTGTGATTAATTGTGTGAGCCCCAATAAAATGATTTTAAGAAAAAAGAACATTGTACCTTGCACAAAAACTGACACAAAATGAATCGAAGGCCTACGTGTCAAAAGCTAAAACTATGAAGTTCCTGGAAGATAAGATAGGAATAAAACTAGGGGGACCTAATTTTCAGCCTATCAAAAACACCAAAATGCACAAACAATAGAAGGTCATTTAGGTCATTGTCATGGGGAGGTGCCATCAAGTTGACTTTGTCATCCTCACAAATTGTCCCCATGTTTGAGGCCTTTGTTGCAGCATTGCGTCAATCCATCTTATTGAGTGTCTTCCTCTTCTTTATTGACCCTCTCCTTTACCAAGCATGCTGTTCTTCTTCAAGGACTGGGCTCTCCTAATGACATGTCCAAAGTAGACGAGAGGAAGTCTCTGCATTCTTTCTTCTAAGGAGCATCCTGGCCGTACTTCCTCCAAGACAGATTTGTTTGTTACTCTGGCAGATGGTGGCACTTTGAATATTCTTCCCCAACACCACAATTCAAATGCATCAATTGTTCCTTGGTCTTCTGAATAAGAATTGTATTAACTGGTTTTCCTTGCTCTCTGTCATTGAGTGCATTCAGACTCAGAGCCAGCCACCCTATGGGGCAGAGTTGAACTGCTCTAGTGGGCTTTTGGGGCTGTGAATCTGTACAGGAGCAGAAAGCTCCTTCTCCCCAGGAGTGGCTGGTGACTTCAAATTTCAGACTGTGATCAGTAGGTTTATTGTGCCAAACTGGCCAACAGGAACATGTGGGATTAATAAGGTCACAGTTTGATTGGAGGGCAAAGAGACAAATGCCTCAGCAAGGCCCACCTGTCTCTCGCTTGCTCTCTGTTGATCACACCAGGGTGCGGCTGCTAGTTCTCTGCCTCAACTTGTGAGCTACACTACCCGTGGGACTGCCAGCCTGCGGATCATGTAGCTAGAGCTTGAGGTTCCTTTGAGACCTCCTTCACGATGCTGCTGGTGCTTGAGCTGGTGACTGTCGGATCCTATCGACTTGCTGACTGTTGGTGACTGGCCCTGCTGTTTGCTGCCTGTGACTGAACTGCCTGTGTTGCCCTATGGAAGACTCAGTTTTCTGCTTCCTTGACCTTGGACCCAGAGGCCCTCATGAGTTGAAGGACTTCCAGTATATTAACTGTTCCATGGAAGCGAGTTGAACATAGCTCTCTGTACTGCTATGTGGACTAATTAGCTGTTATATTCCTTCATGCTGTGTATATCTATCCTCTTAAATATATATAATCATAAGTGTCCTGGTTTTGTTTCTCAAGAGAACCCTGTCTAACACAGACCAACTCATAACCTATTACACCACCAGGGGTCTTTGGTCTTCTTGCAGGCATATAGATTATCCTATTTTTTTTTTTAAATAGTTATATTAGCACTTTACCTACATGTCATACAATTCAATATCAGAAGAGTTGTCCAATAAGTCAATCAATAAGAAGAGTTGTACCATTATAATCACATTTAATTCTAGAACATATTAATTTTCCTTGTACTCATTGCTACTCGTGCAATTATTTTTCCTAATTGTGGCAAAAATATACAAAACACTCTCCCAATTCCCCAGCTTCCACACGTGTAATTCAGTGCCACTGATTGGCTCTTCATGTTGGCAACCATTATTGATATCATTTTCCAGATTATTCCACTGCCATTCACAGAAAGTCAATGCCCCTTAAGCAACAACTCTTTGTCCTTCACCCATGGTAACCACTGGTCAAGAGATATTACCCAATTATGCAGCACTGTACATCAAGATAGATCTTGAAATGTTCTTTTTGATGATGAAGGCAATGCCATTCCTCTTGGATTTGTCATTTCCATATGACCATCTCATTCAAAATATGCAGTATCAGTCCATTCCACCTCATGAATGCCTAGAATATTGATCTTTACAATTTCAATTTCATTTTTGATGACTTCCAATTTTTCTAGATTTATACTGCATACAGTCCATGTCCTGATTATTAGTGGATGTTTGGGGCCCTTTTTTCTCATTTTGAGTGGTATCACCCCAGCAAATGATGGTCCGAGGGTCTTGCTCGATCCATGTTAATAAAGTCAACTCTACTTTGAGAAGGCAGCTCTTCCCCAGCCATAATTTGAATATTTTCCAATTGGAGGGGCTCATGTTCCAGTACTAGACCAGACAGTGTTCTGCTGTGATTCATAAAGTTTTCAGTGGCTAATTTGTCAGAAGTGGTTTGCCTCTTCCTTCTCTCTGATTGGTTCTCAGTCTAGAAGCTCTGCAGAAGCCTGTCCACCATGGTTGGTCCTGCTGGCATTTGAAATACTGAAGGCATAACTTTCAGCATCCCAGCAACATGGAAGCCACCACAATGCAACAGACTCACAGACAAATAGGATTTGCTCGGAGATTGCACTGCCGGTAAGCCAGGCCCAGGACGGCCTGTGATAGGACCATTCAGTTGCTTGTCAAAAACAGATTTACCCAAATCAATCATTTTCCAGAGTTAGACCTGAGAGTTTGTGTTTTAATTTAAATATTGACTAAGCAGTACATTTATGCAAACATCTTCAAAATCACTCAACATAAGTGAACTGAACATCAAAACCAGTATAATATTCCACTCCATACCAAGGACATTCATTAAAATAAAAATACAAACAATGATCAATATCAATAAGAATGTGGACACATTCAAACCTTTGAATACTACTGATAGGAATGTAAAATGGCACAGCTATTTTGGAAAATGGTTTGGCAATTCCTCAAAAACTTAAACATAAAACCGTGTGACCTGGAAATTCTGCTCCTGGTTATTTGCCCAAAAGAAGTGAAAACATTTATCTACACAAAAACTTGTACGTTGTTTAGACTTTTTCAGAAGAAAGCAAAGAAAATAGAAAACACTTTATTAGTATTTAGGAAAACACGCTAAGAGCAAACTGCCAAAATGGCTGGACTCAATTCCAAGAAGAAGCCAAGAGTTCAAAGAATCAACCTGGAGCAAATCTGAAAGACACCCTTTTCTTTGCATGGTGGGTGGGGACTTAGGGACTGGGCAGTAGGCTGGGCAGGAAAGTTTCCACTACTTCAGGAGCATCTTTCCCCCCCCCCCCCTCAATGTCTGTAACAAAATTTATCCCTGAGCTCAGCAGAGAGGAACAGGGCCCATGGGTTACAGAGTCTCTGTGGCAGCCTTTTGGGCCAGTGCCAGCCATGGGTGGGGCAGGCACTAAATTGACACAGCTGCACTGGAGGATCTTTTTATCGTTGGAATGAAGTGGGCTACTTGAAACCATTAACACCATGATACAAATACCCCAAACTCATGTCCAAAATGTGAGATTTCTTGTTAAATCCATACTATTCAGATTTTTAAAAATTTTTGTTTTGTTATTTGTTCGCTTTATTTTTTTCTTTTTTTAATCATTTTATTAGGGGCTCACACGACTCTTATCACAATCCATACACACATCAATTGTGTGAAGCACATTTGTACATTCATTGCCCTCGTCATTCTCAAAACA